ACGTACAACTTGGGCTCCTCGGGTTAAGACATCATCCGAAAGCGAAACTTTGGCTGCTCATATCATAGCATAGCGTGTAATAACAGTAGAGTTTGCATCTTGCATTCAGCATGCTGTTTGAAATTTGGCGGATAGCTAAGACGAGGAAACCGACCGATAGATAGGCCAGAACGTTCTGTTATTAACACGAACTTTACGTATGCTGAAAACCCGTTTGCGATCCAATGAAAACTCTGGTACCGTACTTGATGACCACTTTACAAGAACTTCACTGTCGTCGGAAGCTTTCCGGATCTTTGCCAAAGTTACCACCACGTGGACACACGATACTGGCGCCGATTTGAAAGTAGTGTTGAGTTTGACTTCTCGTAGCTTTCGGTACGATCTCGAGTTTCACAAGATCCGCGTGGTTTTTAGTATAGGTAAGGTACTGAGGTAAGTCGGTTAGATACACGACAGATTCGGCCCCCATCATCCTCGTCATAATCCTGAGATAGGTGGACACATCGGCGATGACAATAAGTGGGTTTCCCCGGATTGATGCGCGCGGAACCGTCTTGGCGGCTGTTAAAAATGCCCGAGCAGGAGGATTTTAGCCTAAAACTCCACTTCGGGGAAGATTATGAATTCCGGGGCGAACACCTCTTCACGGCCGTTGAGGGAACGGGTGTATTACTGTCCACTGCCGCGGCTCATGGAAGCCAAGGTCCCACTGCAAGGGGCAGTAATTCTTTCTGTCGATTCATCATCCGCTCCATCTCAGTCAGGGTCGTCTTGGCAAAGTCCAACCGTTCACGGGGTGTCTCAGCAGAAAAGGCGGAATCGGGGGCGGATACAAGTGCGATTTGCGGCAGACGCACGTCCAGACCAAGGCTCAACTCGTGGCATCACGTCGTGCTCGGACAATTGTAGGTCCAAGAAGGCATGTCGATGAGCCAATGAGAAATCTCCGAGTTATCAACCCCTGACCCATGAGTAGGGTTGTGCTTCAGAGACACACTTACTGTGTAGAGAGGCCAAGAGAAAGGAAGGCCTGAGTCATCCCGGTCCGCGGGACGCCGAAGCCCACGAGAGTCCGTCCCGTCGAAGACATACTTTAGCCTGGAACGATTTGGAACGGGGATGGAACATGCACACTTCTCTTTCGCTCCCACAGCGAATACTAGAGCTCGATGGCAATACACACACATGGCGAACTCTAATCGCAAAATCTTAGGGAAGATCAGGTGTTTACCATAGCGCCGCGCGCGCGCGCGCGTACTGGATCCAATTTGTCTCGGAGAACTCTTGATTGTTTCCCGAGTAAATCCGGATTGGAAAGAAACGTTCGCTTCCCACCCCCTCATCGCAAACGGGCTGAGTCGTTTCTATGACTCGGATTATTTTCTCCATCTGGCTGGGATAACGGTTCTTGGCACTGGGAAAGCATTGTCAGATGGTCTTTTGGATTTTTTGGATTTGCCGCTTGACGGCTGATGTTGAGGCTAGGGTGGGTTCTCTTTTAAGCTACAGATGATCCCTGGTCTGGACCTTCTGGGCCATGACCCCCCTCGACATTGAACTTTTGAGGCTCTGTGGGATGGTATAACACCGAAAGACGCCCAGTCATTGTAGTCTTGATGACATCCACACTCAGCTACGAATCGTCGTCGAACCCATCAACATTGCGGAGATGAACGAGTCGGAGGAGATAGTAGATCACTACGATTCGGACAGCTCACCTTACTCGGTCCGTCCGTTGCCACCAGTTCTTCGCCATGGCCTCGCCGCAGTGGCGACAATGGGGTTTCTCTCCTTCTTCACCAGCCTGGGTTTGTTGACGTTTCTCACGTATAAACTGATCCAATGGCAACACGGCCCGCCGACACCGAAGAAGGAGGATTTCATCATCAAAGTTGAGTCGCCGAGACCGACAGACGCGGCATTCATTATTCCAAGCAATTGGACTGCGGCAACTGAAGAAGAAGCTGCGAAGAAACAAAAGGAGACATGGTGGCAAAGAGCTATCAACGAGCCGCCGAATCAGTTCCTCGTTCTTATTTTCAACCTCCTACTTGCCGATATACAACAAGCGCTGGCCTTTCTCCTCAATGTAGAGTGGCTAACTAGAAACGCCATTGAAGTCGGCACAGGCACTTGTTGGACCCAAGGATGGTTTGTGTCGACCGGCGACCTGGCGTCTTCCGTGTTCATCACGGGTATCGCGATCCACACCTACATGTCTATTGTCTCGACAAAGAAAATCCCGACGTGGGCCTTTCATACCGCAATCGTCATGATGTGGGCTTTCGTGTACGGGACCGGGATCCTTGGTGTAATCATCACAGAGAATGGGAAGAGTGAGGGCGGCCTCTACGTGAGAGCCGGCGCTTGGGTGAGTCAGCCTGCTTCATGATTATCGCGGCAACAACATTAACACGCCACAGTGTTGGATCAACTCCAAATATCAGGATGTCCGCTTAACACTTCATTATCTCTGGATTTTCATTTCACTGGTTCTCACAAGTTTAATCTACTTCATAATATTCCTTCATTTACAGAAGCTGGCTCGGCAAAGCGGCGGGGTGGTTCCTTGCTGTGGACACCCAGGGACTACCCCAACCCTATCAAGTTGCAGCGGATCAAGTTCAGGCACCACGTCGAGCTGCGATAACCACAGCACAATCTCGAGCACCTTCTGGCGTCCGATGTGCTTGACGACGATTCTTAGACGACTACCCGATATTCCAGATTATGCTAGGCAGCACACATTTCTTTTGTACCCTCTCGTCTACGTTGTCTGCACCATTCCTTTAGCTGCTGGCCGTCTTGCCTCCATGACAGGGCACGATGTATCTCTGGGATACTTCTGCTTCGCGGGAGCAATGATCGCTTGCAACGGCTGGATGGATGTTATTCTCTACTCTTCAACCCGACGATCCATCGTCTTCTCATGCGAAGGGCCTCCATCACAGGAGGTTGGCTTAGAGACATTCTCATTCATGTGTGGCACGCCTCCAAAGTTCGGCAACACAACTATTGTCATGGGAGGTTCGACCTCTGAGCAAAAACGGCTGAGGCGATATAATAAGTGGTGCGAGAGAGTTGCCCGCAAGGGCCCAAAATCAGGCGGTTTGAAGGCGCTCAAAGTAGATGGCATCGAAAGTACAGAAAGCATGAAAGGAAGCATGAAAGGGTTTGGGATGGGAGAGGGTTCGGTCATGGGCATGGCGATTCAGTGCGAGACGACCACGACAGTCTCCGTTGAGGTCAACACACTAGCACCACCAACTCGGCCCAAGCTTGCGGCTAGGAAGTTGAGTGATGCAAGCAACTACAGTGCCGGCTCTTCTACAATTTGGGGAAAGGACTGAGCTTTCAGACTCGGTAGAGTCTGGCTATGTCCAGCATTTGGGCTGGAAGATGATGACGCTTATTAGACGACTACATTAGGTACACATGTACCAGCTGGCCTAGCTACAGCTAGCCCACAGGGCTATGATGATATACCCAGATATGACTTACAACTGTACAGTAAAGTAACATCAAACGTAACATTTCTTTCCGAAGCTGAAACCTGCCGTCTCCTTCTGGTTACTCAAACCTGGACCATCACCAGCCCACCAAGCACAAAATTAGTACCTAACGAATGCTGCAACCATCTCAACCGAGATCGCGGAGCTAACCGATCGAGCCGAGAAGTGAGAAGACGCGTCTACCCGCAGTAGGATTGTGACAGAAAGTAAGTCTGTAATCGCCGACCTTGACTTCGCCGGGTCTGCCGTAAATGGGCATTCATTCAAAGTCAAAATCTTTTCTCGACAGTTGAGATGACGGCAAAATCCAAACCCATACCTCTCCGTTTGAGAAATCACTCCATCAGTAGTCTGATTTCCAATACCCCATGAATCCACCTGAGGGTAGTGGGCTAGGTATCCCGGGCGAGGCATGGTAGCTCTACCCGGGGTCAAGGATAGGCATTCACATTTGACCGCTGACAGCTGCGATGTGAAACTCTTGGCGTTTGGTAAACAGGGTAAGCTCCTCCAGTAGATTCTGACGTCAGAAGTTTTAAGAATAGAGTTTTTAAGGTGTTTCGAGATGTGGTAGTCTAGCTCCGGTCTCGTTCTCGTTGAGCCAAACGTGACGGACACGTGGACATCGGACTATCGCAGGCCGCGACATCGCCGAGGGGACAAAGAAATTAGTCCAGTTTTTGATATCGTAAAGGAAAATTACTGGGCCAATGTCCAGGTGGAGGACCTAAGTCATTTGAAGAAGTTTAGTGCATCAAAATAGTATTCCACCGGCAAGACAAGACTACTATTCACTCACAGATCACCTCAAGAATTACTGCAGCACAGGAGCCGCTCTTTAGTAGCCGCGACCTGTGTAAGTTGCGACTGCCTTGCACACTTTCGATACTCTGAAATCAATTTGCCCTGGATCCAGAACCAGACAACCCAAATACATTGTATAGCAGATCTATTGACAAAGATCTTGGTGGCTGCTGCATGTTTCCAGGGGTCTCGGCGTCTGGATGCGATTGGAAGCTCAACCAAGGAGGTTGGACGGTCAGGCCGCATCTGAACCATCACGCGATTAGTCCCCAAGACAGACTGGTTGAACTCATGTGGGAGCCGGGTCTCCACGTGGATCACACGCCCGCTAGTTCTTGGCTAGAGGCAGTCACACCCTCAAGTGTGTCTTTTTAGTGTAGGTAACTGGTCTTTACGGAGTGCAGAGTCTGTGGGCTGAAGCTTGACCGCCGAAGCTTGGGTCGTACGGAGCACACGGAACCACTCGCTGAGTGCGGATGATTAACAAGCCTCCTTGGCAAAAAGCTCCGCCACGAAGCTTACAAGAAGAGTCACAATGATGTGACTCTGCGTAGTAGTCATACTAGCAAGTGAAGTTCTGTAACCACATCTGTAGGCTAAATTTGTCTTACACTCAAAAGTGTAACAGATGAGCATACGGATTGGGTATGTAGTGGAAACGTAACAACAACTCCAGTAACTCTACTGCTGTTGCTTTGTCTGGAACTCTACTCCGCCCTTCTCATCTAGCATCTCTTCTGCCACAACATTGACTCGGCCCATCTGAGCATCTCTACCATCGAAGAGCAGCGCAATCTGTTCCAAGCTAGGTCCCTTGGTCTAGGAAACGTTGATAAGCAGTTCTTTCTTATCATCGATCGAGAGCTTACCTCAGGGAAAAACAAGTATACAACAATGAACTGGACAATAATCCAGCCAACATAGAAGAAGTAAAACTTCCAGGACATGGCTGCAATGCCGAGAGGATTAACGTAGGTATTGAAGGCTCCACAAATACCCGCGACAAGAGAAAACATGGCCATGCCCTTGGCGCGGATGGTGTAGGGAAGGATTTCGACAACTAAAGGGACACGGTGCGTCAGCGTTTCAAAGCCTAACCGTCCCTTTGGGGCTCTAGGCTTTGACTTACTGTAGAGCATTTGTGCGCCCGTCCAGCCTAGATTATGCACACCGCTGTAGAGATAGATGAACGCCACAGTTGTGTAACTTGCGTGACGGTTCCCTGTCTCGACGTAGGCGCCGGACGTGGCCGTGATGACTGCGAATACCACCCACATTCCGGCCATACTTGTCAGCATGAGGGGCCGGCGGCCGACACGCGCCGGAAGGAAGGCGAAGGCAAAGGAACATGCGAAACTGAACATCTGAGATGTTGCGGTAATCAACGTTGTCTCGATCTGCTTGGTGATGCCTGCGCTTTTGAGCATGCTGAAATGTATCATACTATATTAGCTTCATTCTCAGAACACAGAAGTCAACTACTTTGTAGAGACGGACCTTCCCAGGTAGTATGATACCAACCCGTTCCCGGACCACTGCTTGCATATCCCGCACCAGATGATGATGAACGATCGCCACCGGTTGCCTGGGGTTGCGAAAAGAGCCTTGAGGTGGAAGGGGTTCTTGTTCTGCGTGATTTCCGCCTCGATAGTCTCTTTGATCTCGGCGTATTCGTGCTGGACGACTGCATCGTCGGCATCCCCTGCACCGTGGTACTTTATCAGGATATCAAGCGCTGTCTGCTCCTTGCCCTTGCTGCAAAGCCATCGAGGCGATCTAGAAGTTGTGGCTCAGCTACAGCTTCGAGTCAAGTACAGATTCTTGGCAAACTTACTCCGGCAAGAAGAAGAGTCCGCATAGCACCATCGCCGATGGAAACGCCTGAATCAGTGTCGGCGTTCTCCACGCCCTAGGGATGGTAAAGAACTATCAGTCAGTGCACATGTTTCTCGGGCCTCGCGTGGAAAATTTCCCCGATGAGTAAAAGCATACCATGAATCCGAAATTCGGAAACTTCCAAAGGCTACCCAGGCGGCCAAGATGGCCCCAACGCTGTATGTCGTGCTGCTCAATGCCGTCGCCGTCGCCCGGTGGGATGGGTACGCCAGCTCCGTCATCAAGACCGTCGAAACGGAAGAGCACATGACTCCTCCCATGCCAAGAAGAATTCGACCAGCGATGAAGGCTCCGTGGCTCACCGTCGCTGCGCAAATTGCTGCACCTACGATGCAAAGGCCGGAACCCGTGGCGATTGCGATGCGTCGGCCGAGGCGATCTGCGACAAGGGGAATGAGGATGACTCCTAGGATGTTCCCGATCCAGTACGATGCGCTCATGGCACCTAGAAGACTTGCTCGGGGGTGGTCAAAGTCTGACCTCTTTCCTATCAGCATGTCGAAAAGTGCACGCCATGAGGACTCAGAGAAGTGATGCGCGACTGACCATCTTGCCATTTGTTAATCTGTTGGAGGTTGTTGATCAAAGATCCGTCGAAACCATGAGCAACATCACCAAACAGAAGGAAGAAGAGACCAAAATTGAGGGGGCGAAGTCCGGGATCTTTTAGCCACGATGTTGTCTTGGTGTTAAGAGGCGTCGTCGACTCTAGGGCCTGACGGTTGTCGCTATTCTTCAATCTAGAGTTCCAGCCCATTGTTTCGATTCTACAGACGATTCGAGTTCTTACCACTGCTCACATGCGATCAAACGGAGATTGCGAAAAACGGACTTCGTCTCTATTGATATCAAAAGACTCAATGGCTTCATATTGGTACAGGTTTGATCGCTACGAGCTGTTCGCTATCACGTTGATTGCTTGGCTGCCAATCTTTCTCTTGGCCTCTTGCTCTATTCCTTGGTTCGCGGGTATCGGTTGGTTGGCAAAATCGACTTGGAGTTTGCCAACGCGGGGAAATAAGCTGTGAAAAGATCGCAATTGCGGGGATGCCATGGCTGAATAACCTCTTTTTCGTCCAAATCGGGCATCATCCATGGCTTATTGGAGTGCGGGGCGTTGTATCGGCGCATCGGTGGTCGGGGGAAGATCCGGGGTTCACAGTCGTATCGGCTCATCGGGCGATTCATCGCGCGGGGAACCGTCCATCCTCCTCCACTCGGCTCAGTTTCCCCCGAACCTAACCGGAGGGACCCCGCGTACGTCACTGTGATAGATTATGAAAGTGATGGAGGGGGCACTTCCTCATACGAGTCTTTGATCTGTAGTGTTGCATGTGCTGAACGGCATCCAAGATTTTGAATTTGCATACACTTGGCAAGGTTCTCAGAAGCGACATGGGATCTCACTTGAAGTTCCTCGCCAAGTCCGAGTTGGCCCTGGATGCGCGGCGAGAGCATCGGATCAACGCCAACTCTTTCCAGCAAGATGCCCTAACGACCTTTAATGGATGGCAGTATACCTGCTTTTACACTCACAAAGATGCAACAAGCAACGTCCTTTTCGTCAGCCTTGCCCGGCGACCCATCCGCGACTCACTAGGCAGCTGGGAGACGTTGACGTTTGAGGACTACGAGCAGACGGCGGATGATGGGCACAACACTATCTCGATAGGAGTCTGTGCTGGAGATGGCACTATTCATGTCTCCTTCGACCACCATTGTGATCCGTAAGCCGTCCCACAGAGATCGTTTCTATTGCATGGAGCTTGGCTGATGACTCTGACTTTGTGCAGCCTGCGCTACCGCATGTCAATACCAGGCGTGGCGACAAAGCCGGAAGCTCACGAGTGGAAGACCTCACTTTTCAGTCCTACTCACAATCAGCTCCCAGGATACACACGCACAGGGCAGTTGGGAGTCGAGAAACTCTTCTTGGAGACGACATACCCACGTTTTATCCGCATTGATGACGACCTCCTACTGAGCTATCGCATTGGGATGTATGTGAATGGAAATTGTGTGCAGTAACGAGCTTGAGACTGACTAGGATGCAGTGCGGGAGCGGGCTCCGATCACTTGTTTAAGTACAGCAGCAAGGACCAGTCATACTCTTACGTCGGACAATTCCTTACCGGCGTCAACAATAATCCGTACATCAACGGCATCTCATATGCCAACGGGCGCATTCATGTATCTGGCACTTATCGCGGTTTTGTATGGTATGAAGGTGTGGATGACCCAGAGGCGCGGACGCACACTGTCCAAGCTGGACCGAATGGACCAGAAAACAACCACAATGTGAGTGGAACCCATCCTGTCTGAGAACATGTCTTGTGCAGACCTCGACTGACCTCCAGTTTAGCTATTCTATGTGAACAGCGACGACGGTGGGAAAACATTCAACAACACAAAGGGCGAAAGGCTAGCGAACCTCGAGGTAGGCGAGACGGTTTATCCCGACAGCGAAGGACTCATCGTCTTCGACATCCCAATGAACAACGGCATCCTCAACCAGGAGGCGCAAGCGGCAGATGACGAAGGCGGGTTCCACGTCCTGAACCGAGAAAACGAAGTCTGGATACACTATTACCGCAGCCCAGAGGGGCGATGGAGCCGCCACGCGTTGCCCGCGGACCTGCAGCCGACGCGGACTGGAGCGCGCGGGGACGTCATTGCTTTGCCGGGCAAGAAGACCGTCGTCTTTGCGCTGCCGGGGAATCGAGACGATAAGCTCACCGTTCTCGGCGCCAGGTTGCCCACTCAGGATCAGACAGGGGCTGCGAATGAGGAGGTCCCGCTGGAATACCGCACGCTTTGGCAAGCGGATGGGTTCTCCGGAGAGCCGCAGGTCGAGACGTTTGAATCTGGGTCGCAGCAGGTGGTTTCGATTTACACACGAACCGAGGAAAAGGAAAGAAAAGTGGTGGTGCTGGACTTTGCTTTGGAGAAGGACTTGTGATTTTCCTCCATATTCTCCCAACCTATCAGGTTCTACTATTGTCAATAGGTAATCAAAACAAATCACAAACTGGGCCAATTCAAGTAACGGGAAATCGCATGAAATTTGTGCTGCTTGATTGTGTCTCTGAAACCGACAATCTAGACGCAACATGACGTTGGGTTGCACAGGCGAAAGAAGGAAACACCTGAAAAGTTGGGCGCCGTTTGCCCCGAAAGCGCAAACGGGCGAGGCGGTGTACTTTATTGGACTGAAGAAAGCAAACATGGTGGGCCAGCGCGCGATAGTACCTGCGTGGGTGAGACAATGGAGGAGATCGTCATGTCCGAGATCTCTCTTTATCTGCGCCAGGATAGTCAATAATATTGAGTCGAACTCTTTTTCTCCCAACTTGCAAGTTGCAAAGACTCTACAATGGGAGGCAGCCGGGAGGTATCTGGTGGCAACGTAATGGGGTGCTTCCCCCATGATTGAGCGTCGGACTCACCAACAAATCCACCCGTATGTCGTGCTTGAAGAGACGCACATGAATGGGATACGGCACAGGCGAGGCGAGCATGAAATCATGACCCAATGGCTGTGTTCCACGACCGATGGGCTTCCAATTCTCGGGCCAGGAATCCCATACCCCTCAACTTCGACTGTAGTGGGCAGTGCAGGCTGCCGTTCCCCGGCTTGGGAACAAATCGACGAGAAGAACGAACAAAACCATCCGATCCTTGTCTTGCGCGGCTTGTTCGCTGGCCAGCCACCGGGAGTTTCAGAGACTCTGATAGGCCGCGGGTGGTGGGTTGCGCATCCCGCTCCCTCTCTTACTCCTCTCCGAGTATCTTCTCCTATCAGCCACGGGCAACCCCCGGCACTCGTCCGGGATTTTGCTTTTTGAGCCCCGTTCCGCCAATGCCGCGCTACTGTGCCTGACCTCGTGTTGGTGACCCGACAAGGCCAGGCCCGGGACCAATTATAGCGCACGAGTAGCCAGTCAAATCCCCTGGCAGCCCTAAGGTCCTCCTCGCTTGGTCTGGTTTGTTGGTTTGTATGGCTTTCCCAAGGGGAAAACACGCGCTCTCCAGTCCCGAGATCCCCTGTTCCTGTTTTCTGTTGCGGATGTTGCCTGACACTTTTTGGCGAGCGAGGCGTTCGTGGACAGCCCCAACGGCCGAATCACCACAGAGACAGTTGTCCAGCCATCCTTTTCGAACGTTCAGCACCCTGGCTCTGGAATAGTGATCCCACCCCGATAGGCATGCCTACCACCACACTCTCTGCCCATGTTCGCTGCTTGGAGTTGGAGAGTCCCTTGACGAGTCCCGCATCCGAACTTTCTTTCCTCGCTTCTCATGCCAAGGGTGGCAGGCATGGCGTGCAGAAGAATCACCTGCAGGCCTTTTTTTCTCCTGCGGGATACGGTGAGCGAATGCCGTGTTCCTGGCGTTCCTGCGCAATCATGGGACTAGCAACGTCTTGCGTCCTGAGCTGCCGGCGTGGGTTATTGTCCTCTTGGGCAGCTGCGTGTTTTAAATAGAATACCACCTTTTTTCGGCCGGCTTGCTATTCGTAGTTGTTGCTGAGAGGGAAGAGGTAGGCTTGGTTTGCTACGTGTATATACAAAGCCTTCCGGTTCCCCCGCGAGCGATCGTCGCACACATATTTGAAGCGGTCAAGAATTTGCGCACCCATCCCACTTATTCTCGCCCGTCCACACAGTCGTTTTCATGGACGTACCACATTCGCTCTAATAACTAGAATATAACTAGAATATTAATTCTGTCACTCGCTATATCGCAACGGCGTACCGTCGTTGAAACAACCAGCACACAACATGATGATCCCTCTACTCAATACGAGATCCGGCGCAAAGACCGACTCCGATCCCGTAGCTGCCGACTTCACCGCCGGACCGACCACCGGCGGCGGCCCTAGCCAACAAACTCTCATCATCGTCTCCACAATCCTCGGCTCCGCGTTTCTCCTCGTCATCGCCATCGCAGTCTACTGCACGATAACTCGTCGCCGTCGCAAGAGGGAATTCGCAGAAGAGTACAAAAATGCTTGTCTACGGGACCCAGATCTCACGTGGGAGGAGTACACCCGACGAACAAAACTCACGCAATCACGCATTATGCTGGCCGAGGAGGAGTTGAGGGACACGATCATCCGCAAGTCGCTACAGAATAGGTCATCCGTCACCGTCACACCCGTCGCCGGCTTCACCGCCGCCACCCCGGACACACCCACCGAGCCCGTCTCACCACCCGCCAGGACACGATCTAGGACGTGGCATGGGCGCAGCAGATCCAAGACGAGCATCGACGCGGAGGAAGGCGAAGGATTACTCATGTCTCTTCGAGGCGACTGGACCGAGCACGAAGCGCGCGTCGAGAGGACGTGGCAGCTTCTTCACAAGAAGTACCCCACGAGGCGGGTGACGCTACCGGTGGAAGAGGAGTCTGGCGGTCCGATACGGCCGCCTACGATCCGGTTGAAGACGCCGCCATTGCTTTCGCATCCCATGTTCCGGGGTTGGAATGCGGAGAACACGGTGAAGCACTCGAGTTTACCGACTTTACCGACTGAGTTGGAGAAGATGAGGCCCGCCCAAATTTGATGGAGTAATGTATCAGGAGTAATGTTATTGTCTATAATGTCTATGACGTATTAACGAATAATGGAATTGGCCCGGAGTTGGTCCAAGGTGGCGCTTGGTCACGGTATATATGGAGGGTCTAGGTGACTGAGATATCAACAGAACAAGGCCGTAGACTACAAGATTTGAGATCTTGAAAATTCAATCGCAACATTTATGGAACGGTCTCTGAGAACGAAACGATTGAACTGATGCATTATTCAAAATATCGATCATCGAATCGACAGTCATTATCATGTGGAATTAGAAGCAACAAACCGATGCTAGGAATTAAAGCCCCATTGATGGCCTAGTGGTAAGGATCGCGAACGCTATTACCAGTCAAAAGACAGGCCTAGCCATAGTCCGGGCTTTGGACGAGGACTGCTGTCGTAAGAAAGTGCCAGTAATAGAGTCATAATGCCCCTCACTGCGGCAAATGCGATTGAAAATCAGCAGAAGGTTCGAGGTTCGAGAAAATCGTATTCGTATTCCCACTCACGGACTAGGGGTCTTCCGAATTCGAAGACTCCGATCACATTTGAGTTCTGGCACTAGCAGTGATCATCAGAGGTCCTGCCAGATCACTCACCCCCACGCTGATCAGTTCCGGCAAGACCCCGTGAAAGCTTCCATTGGTAGCAAGACCTCTCTCCATAGGATCAGCTAGCTGAAAGTCAAACTCGCGCAACAAGGTGCTGGTCAGCTTGTAGATGTTGGATTGTGCCAACGTCTTGCCAAGACACTGGCGACCACCCAGGCCGAAATGCATCAGGTAACGGGCGCGCGCAGCTGTCTCTGGTTGATCCCACCTTGACGGGTCAAAGACGCCGTGGTCGTCGCCCCATACTTGCGGATTGTGATGGAATGCGTGGTTGCACACTGCCACGGATGTCTATGACTCACAATATTAGCTCGATGAATTCACCACTGTGAGTAGCTCGTTAGGCAGAGTAAGTTTCTTTAGGCGAAGTCTAAAGAACATTAGTTCGATCTTACCCCTTGTTTGATGTGACGGCCCGCGACCATGATTCCTTCGGGAGCTGTCACACGTCTCGCCAGCGGCATCGTGAAGACAGGGGTTATACGATAGTTCTCCTTGACACATGTCCGCAGAAATGGTAGGGAGCTTTCTACTTCTGTGATTGAGTAGGCATCTTTCCCGTTGTCCAGAGAAGTCAGGTTCTCGTCCACTTCCTGTACACACTTGCTAAGTGCCTTTGGGTTGTGTAGCAAGTTCCAAAAGAGAAGCGTCGTGGTTGCGCTGGTTGTGTGCGTTCCGGCAATGCTATGAGATGGAGTCAGCATGAGCCGTTTGTGCAAACTCCCGCGTGCCTGAAGTTGGACCTACATCATTCCGAATGCCTCGGCCTCCAGATCAACTCTTGCAATCTTCTCTCCTGTGTCGGGATGTCGAGCTAAGATGAGACTGGTCAAAATGTCTTTCCTCTGCACCTTACCCTTGTTCTCGTCTTCTTCAACCTCCGCCACTCGTCTCTGAACACACTCAGCCGCTAGCCCTGCACACTTGGCCCGTCCCGCGAACAAATTCTGCAGACCGGCGCTAGGTATTCGTGGTAGCCATTGCTTGAGGGTTTGCGTCATGGCCGGCCACGCTCCCAAAGTCGAGCCCAGAAGCGTATGTGGGATGACGGGCGGTACACGAGACTCGTCGCCAGAGGCCTGGACCCCAAAGGAGCGACTGAAAGCTAGCTCGCCTAACACGTCAATGGTGTAGAAGTGCAGGAGCTTCTTGAGATCAAAAGCCTCTCCGGTCTTTGCGAATCGTGCGATCTTATCACGCAGGATCTTGATGTTCTGGTCCAAGTACTGTTCCATTCCCTTCACGCTGGTGATGGAGAAGCTGTGTGACATGTGGCGTCGCCTGATTGAGTGTAGCTAAGTACACATTAGTCCAAAGCTTGTTGATTGTATAGAGGCGTTTCATCCGTACCTCTGTGGATCTCATGCCAAAGATATTTGGGGTCTTGGAGCCGAAGGCATCGTAGTACTCCGTCTTTGGCATCCGCTGGCCACCCTTCTGATACACCAGAGGGACGACCTCTTCGGCAGTGATGCTCAACTTGTCCGGTCCATATCTGACGAACTCACCGTACTTCTCGTGAAGCTCGGTCAAGTTGTACGGTTGCTTTAAAGACAGGAACTGATTGACCTGCCACAGATCCGTGACAGATGCCCAGAATGGGCCTGGATAGCCAGCTAAGGGGTGGACGAATCTCTGATAGGCAACATAGATCACGGCGCCAGTTACCGCGAGACCCAAAAGGAATCCTGAAAAGGTAATCTGAACATAGTCTGAATCAAGTATGGAGGATCTCATCTTGTACTCAGCGTGCCCAATCGTGATCTTGTAATTTGCAATGAAAATGATTGAAAACGGGTGTGAGGAAGTTGTGCTTATGATGTAGCTCCGGCCCCGCGTTGACGGAGGATAAATACCGTCCGAACCGCATCTGCCGAACTCTCCCCGCACCAATACTCCCGATCAATCCGAAACTCGCGGAGGGAGAGCACTCACTGAAAGCCTTACAATTGAGTGAGTCCAAAGTCGGGGTAGGTTGATGAGGGGAAGACAAGGATATTGCTTCAAAGATCGAGCATAGACCCATGCTTCGCTAGTTCTGGTCGACGGGTAAAGGAGGCGGCTTTTCCTTGCTAGCTGAGTATTGTCAACTAAAGCATTGTTTGGTCTATACTAAATCCACTTGTAAGTTGAAACTATGAAAATTCCCAACACCATGCACGCTCATATCTGTCAGTAATGTGGTTGTCGTTGAGCAATACCCACATTTGACCAACATTGAACGTTAAGTTTAGCTAGCATTGAACAGCGTTTCGATCACGGGAGGAAAAGGATGAACTTCCCACCCCAAATCAAACCCGACAACTCAATGAGACTCGTTCCATCATACCACTGCATATTGACCTTGGGTTGAAAGTGAAGCTCTCAAAATTCCAAAAATGAAACCGACCTACGTAGGGATCGAACCTACAATCTTCACAGTATGACTAGGAAGCCGAAATGTGACGCGATGCCATTTCGCCAGCAGGCCTGGTCGATGGAGTTTCGGCTGAAACGAACGCTCATATACCCCATCTAACCGACGAGCTTGGACCAGTCCAGTCCCTGGATCTCTAAAGAAGGCTGCATGTAAGTGGGTTAGCGAGCAGTTGGGGCTTCATAGCTGTAACCTTGTCATGTAATTTACGATGATGCAGCAGCTCTAAAAGAAGAAAGAGACTAATCGTTGAGGCTGACAATCTCCTTGAAGTATCGGCGAAGGAGCGAGATCTACACCGGCAGTGCGCATGCGGGTGTAAGACAAATCATGCGGACCGCTCCGTGTGCCGACGGACACCCGCTGACTGCCACTTTTCGGTTGGTGCTGAAGCCTGCCGGCATGCCGTCGTCTCCGTTCCGCATCGCAGAACATGAGAATAGTATTTGTCTAAGTGCATCCGAGTCTAGCAATGTTATGTTGATAAGTAAAGTAAGCCCTGGGTATTCTTACATGTCTTAAAAATTCTCCCGCTGTTCTCTTTACCTTGGCTCAGGCGTGTGTTTCTCCAACTTTCCAGATTCTAACCTCGTTAAATCACCACCACCATCTCTTTTCTAACCGCCACAATGACGAGCATCCGCAAAGTCATCATCTCACAGTACGGCGACGTCGACGTGATCAAAGTAGTCACAGATGTCTGCCCTCCACCGCCCCCCGGCGAAATCCAAATCGCCACAGAATACTCAGGCTTCTCCGGCGCAGACGTCAACATGCGCAAGGGCATCTACCCCTTCATGAAGAAAGCGCCCCTCACACCAGGCTACTGCCTCGTCGGCACCGTCCGGGCTCTCGGCGAAGGCTCCAAGAACTTTCAAATAGGCGACGTCGTTGCCGTCCTGACCAAATACGACTCCGAGGCGGAGCTTGTCAACCAGCCGGAGAAGTACTGCATCCGCGTGCCCGACGGCGTGGATCACCGCCAGGCGACGGCGCTCATTTGCGACTGGAATACCGCGTACGGCATGGTGATGCACTCGGCGAGGGTATCCAAGGGCCAGCGGGTGTTTGTGCACGGGATGAGCGGCGCGGTGGGGTTCGCGCTCATGAAGCTTGCGCAGCTGCAGGGGGCCACGGTCTACGGTACCGCAAGCCAGCGGAACCACATTGACGTTCGGCGCGAGGGCGGTATCCCGTTCGTATACAGCGACAAGAACTGGATGAAGGAGATGAACGCCCTGGGCGGCGCGCATGCTGTGTTTGACCCGCTTGGGTTTGAGAGCTTTGACGAGAGCTACTCCATTCTCGCGGAGGACGGCACGCTTGTTGGGTTCGGGAATAACAAGGCTTCGCTGAACGAGGGCGCGCCTCCTCGGAACCCGACGGGTGCGCTGTTGAAGCTGTTCGCGAGAAACTTGAACTTGTTGACCAAGAGGAGCACGACTTTCTACGCTTTGAACAGGGACTCTGCAACGTATGTGCCTAATGTCACGGCGTTATTGGATATGTTGAGGACGGGGACGATTACGGTGCCAATCAAGTGTGTTTGGGACATGGAGGATATCCAGACTGCGCATCGGCAATGGGGTGGTGGAAGTGGTGTTGGATCTTTGTTGATCAAGGTAGCCAAGAACTAGGGTCTGGCAAGAGGTTATCAGGAGATCTTGTCTTTGTTCGCGACTCGGAGTGCGTTTTTGATAATGGGGAGTTTGGGTAGAATCTACAGCCGTAGTGCGTAAATGACCTCGTTCTTACGCAAATTGTGTTCACTTTTATCGGAGAGACCCGTAGAAGCAATTGGATGGGATGGATACTTCTGTACTATGAAAACCATCATGAAGCTTCTCAAAATGGAAATATTCGCCTCCATTCGCAACCTTCCGTTGGGAGAAGGTTTCGGCGCACCCACGTAGTGCCCGGCCCTCCACTATCCGGATTTCGGCCCCGCCATCTTGGTTTACATTCGACTGATGTCGCAATTCAAAACAGTCAAGATAGGCAAGATCCGATAGAGCCGGTGTTGGATTTATAATACAAGTTCTGGTATTTGCAGAAGGCTCCTGAAGGGAAAAACTAAAGTGAACATTGAAGGTCTGAGATCATCATCTTCAAGTGCACTGGTTCTCGGGAAGAACTTCCGAGGTCCGCCAGATTGCAGCCAATGTATTATGACATCCGCATAGCTTACTCTAATCCCCACGTTACGATGTCCAGGAACAAGGCTGCTTGGCTCACACGTGCAAAGACGTACCCACTCAAGGTCGACGATGCCCCATTCCCGACTGCCGGACCCGGTGAGGTTGTCATCAAAAACGTCGTGACTGCTCTGGTAAGCAATATGTCTCACTTACGTCTATTGCTACCGAGGATCTTTCTCTGACGCCCTAGCAATAGAATCCTGCCGAATGGAAGATCCAGTAGGTAATCCGTACGATTCAAATTAGGGTAATGATGCCTGACATGGCTCAGAGATATGGGCATCATTGTGCAGAATTATCCCACCATTCTTGGGGCAGACGCAGCAGGCTTTATCGAAGAAATTGGCGACGGCGTGACACATCTCAAGAGAGGACAGCGGGTCATAGGGTGCGCCATCATCCCCTGTCTATAAATGCGGTGCCCCCGGCGAGACTAACCTACCTAATCATTTGGTCTATTGTCAGTCAATCTTCACTAACACCATGTGTAGGTACTGCACCGGGCTAGGCAAGCAGAACCACGAATTTGGAACATTTCAGCTCTACAGTAAAGCAGACGCGAACCTCATCTCACCCATCCCAGATGACATGAGCTTCGAAAGCGCCTCAGCCCTACCTCTCGCCATCGCAACAGCCGCGGTAGGACTCTACAAGAAGCAGCATCTCGGCCTACCCCTGCCATCTCTCAACACTCGCCGAACGGGCAAGACGATCCTCATATGGGGCGGCGCATCGTCCGTAGGAGGCACCGCAGTGCAGTTGGCCGTCGCATCAGGGCTCAGAGTCGTTGCCACGGCTTCACAGCGCAGCTTTGACAAGGTATTGGAGCTGGGCGCCGAGGTGGTTCTGGATTACCACTCTGATACTCTTGTCCACGACGCGCTGAAGGCGTTGTCTGGGGCAGATCTTGTCGGCGTGTACGACGCGATCTCGGGCCCAGAGTCGTTGAGCCCCATTGGTGCTATCTTGGATCAAATTGGGCGACGCAGGGTCACTGTTGTGTTACCAACGGAGCGCGACTATGGGAAGAACGTGGAGATAAGCATGAGTAAGTTGGCTCCGAATGCCATGGTGAACGAATGCTGATCTTTTTGCAGTGACTGCCTACCATATAACACAGGATCCAGAGGAAGTGCAGAATCCCGTGTGGAGAGACTTTGTCCCTGGTGCTCTTAGGAATGGCCAGCTGAAGCCGAAGCCGGACGCCGAGGTCGTCGGCAAGGGACTCGAGTCGATCCAAGCGGGACTTGATGTGTTGAAGCAGGGCGTATCTGCTAAGAAGTTGGTGATCCAGCTCTGAGACTACTCACATGCAAAAGTAGTTATTGGCCTGTTCTTGTTTTCCTTATCTGCATGAAGAGCTTTGGCGGCCACAAGCAGCTTCATGCAAGATGCAATTGAGTTGATCTCATCTTTCTCGCCTGAAACATGAAGGTTGGCACTAGTGCAAAGGCATGAAATTGTTCAGAGGAAAGAAACATGTATCCCTTTTAATTCCTGGTTTCACATGTGAATAAGCAACGCAAAAGATGAATCAGTTGGTGTTCCGATCTGCTTTTGTTGTGGATGAAAAGAGACCTTGATGACTTTCCTCATCGTGCTCACCTTGATTGCCGCCATCGGTGAGGGTCAGGTGAACAGGTGTGTCAGATGGGAATAGCGACGGCGGGATTGGCTCGGTCGACACCGATCTTGGAGACAAGCTATGAAAACAAGTGGAGACGGAGCGGAGGGACGGACTTCGGGGTGGGAGATGATCCATGTCATCAGTACATGGCACGTGCCTGCACCAAATGCAGCCAATTGTGGAGGGGGAGCCGTGCGTGCTTGCCCCGCCATGGAGCCATTCCGCATGTCGCAGCTGCAGCAGGCAGGCAGCTCCCACTTTGGTGCTTTCCCATGCTGACAGTCAGGTTCCAGGCGCAGGCGCACTTTCTCCGAAGCAGCCGGCACACCGCACACCGTCAGACGATGACATACCACCGCAGTACGTACCGTGAACCCCTCCATTCTCCAGATTCGGCCCAAAACCAAGGCCAAGGCCGTGAGCTGGCTGCGCTCGGCCGATGCTGCAGACTCAAACCAGTTACCAGACCAGACCAGGCAAGACACCGGACCATGTCTCTACCGCAACTCTGAGTCTGTACTGTGTAGATTCTTTCCCTGCTGTTCGTTGTGTTACCTCATGCCCTCCTCCACTTTGAGCAGGGTACATACTCCTTTGACGCCTCACCAAGCCTGTTCGGATAGCTTCAAAGGCAACACTCTGCCGCCCATTTACCGCCTCATACCCTCGTACGTGACCTTACCTTGCTCGACCTAACTCTGCTGGCCGAACCACAGCTTGACACCTTCAACCGCGATGACGCCGTATGCATAGCAGCTTCAAACTCCTACAAGGCACCCAAGCACACCTAACCCGTCCTACGAACATCGACACTCCTACCCTCGACTTCCTTTTCTTCCAGCTTACATTCTGACGAACTTCGAACCTTTCTCCGTTGCCCTGCCCTCTCGGTGGCACTGATCGACCGTCTCCTCCCCCGACCCTCCGACCCCGCCGCGCCAGGCATCACCCTGGCTGTCGACCGTCCAGCTGCTCGTCTCACATGCTAGTTCGCACGCGACGTCACGGCCAACTCTTTCACCACCGCGCAACGAAGGTCTCGTCTCTAAGAAGCCCTGAAGCGATATCCCATACGTTTCGGGTGGTTTCCATCCTTCCAACGCCATCCTCATGCCTCTTGAATCTCCCCTTCACGGCTACGACCGAACGAATAATCCCATAACCGCCATCATGGCGACCGACGTCCACAAAACCGATGCGAAAGGCGATGCGAAGAGCGATATCAAGGTTCCTGCGCCAGCTCCCAACGCGGGCTTGGTCAGAAAACCAAGCGATCCTCATCCGGCTGGTCGCGTCAAACACAGCCTAGTAGTGCAGGTCCTTCGGGGCTTCTCGTTCGGCGTTTACTTTGCTGCTTGTTGCCTTGCGTGCGTTCCCCACAGAGCTGCTTGGTCAACCTTTGCGACAGCGTTTTTCTAACATGTTTCGCGCGCAGCATCATCACGACCCAAATCTTGGGCGTTCCACTATATTGGGCGAATCGCGACATGTTCTACTCCTACATGGCGCTCACGAAGCAGTCCTTTGGCCTGACTATCACCGCCATGACCCATATTTGGAGCAGTACTACCATCAGAATAAGCGGCGATGCGTCGATGAACGGGCAGATCCAGAAGACGGCGGACGGAAGGGTCCAGTTCAACTTTCCAGAGCGAGTGGTGCTCATCGCGAACCATCAGGTAATACGATGCACCTTGTCTTTACCACAGTTGTGATGTGGAATATGGGGATACTGACGGTGCTGGATAGATCTACACCGATTGGCTCTACCTATGGTGGGTGGCCTACGCGAACTCTCCGAGCATGCATGGACACATCTACATCATTCTCAAGGAATCTCTCAAGTACATCCCCGGAGTTGGCGCCGGCATGATGTTCTACGGCTTCATCTTCATGTCGCGCAAGATGTCGACCGACCAGCCGCGACTCGCGCACCGACTTCAGAAGCTGAAGAAGCAACACGTTGGTGCCAACGGGAACAAGTATCTCGATCCCATGTGGCTCTTACTCTTCCCCGAGGGTACGAACTTGTCCACCAATGGTCGCAGGAAATCGGCGGCTTGGGCCAAAAAGAACGACCTTAAGGATCCCGAACACGTCCTGCTGCCCCGGAGCACAGGCACGTTCTTCTGCTTGAACGAGCTGAAAGGTTCGCTCGACTACGTTTACGACTGCACAGTCGCGTACGAAGGAGTTCCGTAAGTGAAGACTTCTCCACGCATTCGTTTGCAACATTTTACACGACACACACTGACAGCATTCCAGCCGTGGCAAGTTCGGCGATCAGTTCTTCACTCTCACTAGCACCTACTTCCAAGGTCGCCCCCCCAAGTCGGTCAACTTCCACTGGCGTCGCTTCCGCCTCGCCGATATTCCTCTGGACGACGCCAAAGTTTTTGACACTTGGCTGCGCGAGCGGTGGTACGAGAAGGACGCCATCATGGAAGAGTACCTGTCCACGGGACGCTTCCCCGCGAGCCAGGACCTCAAGGGTGGCTTCGTCGAGACGGAGGTCCGCTTGAAGAGCTGGATCGAACTCGGACAGATCTTTGTCGTGCTCGGCATTGCCGGCCTCGTTTTGCGCATTGTCGCCAACTCTATCACTAGATTCGCCTCGGTTCTCTAGAGCAGAGGAGCATAGCTGCTTCGAAAGACTCAAAGAATCAGTCCGTGTTTGGGGCTATCTTCTGTTCATTGGCGATTGGTTACAGGTACATGAGCTGCGGCAAGGTTATCATCAGAAAGGCTGTGACTTACGGTAGCGATTGAACTTTGGGACATGGGAGCTTCGGCTTGAGTTTAAAGGCGTCCTTGGAGTATCCGGCGTTGAGCTCTTCAGATTCCTTCTTTGATACGAGATACAAGCCACAGTGCGTCATCTCCACCAGCCTTTAACCTCATTGTGATCGTTGTCCCTTTCCATCCACATCTTTTGGTAAACTCGAAAGACTGATGCTGGAGGGCGGATTTACGCCGGGGCAGATATCCTAGCTTTTGGTCAGTACGTGTTCAGGTCTGCCTGGCCCCCCGCCCTACCGAAGTGATGCGATAGGCCATGTCGGTCGCCATACTCATGGCGCTACGCGGCACCTTCATGCCCGATCTACGAAGTATCCTTCCAATAGTTACGATGGGAGCAGTTATCTTGGCATCTTTCGCCGTAAAAAGTCGATGAGGTGGAGTCTTGTGCTTGGGTCGGCCTGACAACAAATACGAGAGCTATTTGTTGATAATATGCGGTGGGTTTGAGAAGCTCGAGATGTCCACCAGCCTTAAGGGACTCGTGGTACGGAGAGGCTCCCTCATGAAGCTGGGCTAGGCGCGCTCGGTCTATCATAGTAGGGTCTTGTTAAGTTGGATTCAAGGTACCATGAGACGAAGATCATGTATCGGACGGTGACGACCTTGTGCATGTGGTATGGGTGGCACGCGAGGATGATGAGGTAGGCGGTTGGAAACCCACGTTTCGATATTAGGCTGTTGCTCTCTTTCAATACACCCAAGGTAGAATACATAGTACTAGATGATGAGACTTTTCAATCACTGTTGGGAAAGATTGTCTGAGCGCGAGGCAATGCGTCTCTCTAGGTATCTTGTAAGTTCATAATGAAGCCGCGCTATCGGTCGGGAATTTCGAGGCTGATGGACTGGAGGACTGTAACCTGCTGGTGAATGCTATTTCAGACGGAAGCAAGGCCGTTCCGGCGTACCCATGCCTCTAGCAGTCAAGTTAATAGCCCGAATGTTACCTCGGTCACTGAAAGGTGCGGTCTGTAGCTTGAAGTAGTGGAAGCTGTAAAGGGGGCCTCATTAGGCCTGCCTGCACATCACTCACTTGTGAAGAGCTGGCCTGTTCCGAAGGCAAAGATGGCAATGCCATCCAATCGGACTAAAGAGGACAATGCCATGTTGCTCACAAATGATACCTGTCAAACATCCTGATCTTCAGCTTGATTATACACAGGTAGCTAGGCCCTACCCAGGTGACCTTTTCCCAAGTACTGCGCAAGTTACATGGGCCTCTTATTCCACGAAGTCGCTGGTCGAGGTACACTCAAAGAAGTTTCTGGAGGACGCCATGCCAGCGAATACTTTAACGAGTACACCTACGAGCTCTCATTTGCTGAGTCTCAATAGCTTGGCAGCTGATCAGTGATCTGTGATGATTATGGGTGATAGATTCGTTGAGATGACGGCCCAACAAGTGTCAGGGGTCTCGATGCTACCTAGGCTCCATGGAGGGACTTGAGGCATAAGCCTGATGGCCTACTGACTGCGGCTGTTGACCATGCCGCTTGGACACTGAGTCCTTGATAATGGGTCAATTTTTGCGGAGGGAAGTGCATACTTTACTGAAGTCTCACGCCCACACCGTCCCGCGTCGGCATGTGGGCAACGGCGGCAAGACGCACCCTGGCCTGAACGGAAGCCTCTTCCAACACCAACCTGGTGGTATTCACGGACCTTGTCCGTGAATACAACAATTCTCCGACTCACACTTCGGGTGCCCTTACATGTAAATACACCCTCTGGGGACTTGCAGGCTGGACCTCACAGTACCTGGTTGCTTCAGACCAAACACACAATAGCAGGCTGGGCTTTTGGCTTCAGTTAGCAGGCCTGCGCTGCCCACTCAGCAAGCCAGACCTTCGCAAGATGCGCAAGGTGACCACGATACGTCCAGCCTGAGTATGAACGCACATCAAACATGACGCTCCCGTGCCGTCAAAGTCGGTCTGCCCCCGTGGGCGGTAATGAACGGGCTGCATGACTCGACTTTCTCGGTGCGATCTTGCCGATCTGGGAAGTATTTTAACGAAACCTGTGGATTTTTGACATGGGGCAACTACCGAGAGGGGCTTTGAGTCTGAATGAAGATAGCAGATCATAGACTGGTGGAGAAGCCGGACATGAGCCGTCACTCTTGATGCGGACAGTGGATGGATGTGGCTGGAGGCACGTGGACTTGATCAGGAATTGTAAGGTGATTTGCTACTTTCACGGCAGGCAATTGAAGTCATTATGGTTTCCGTATCATTTGCATTGTTGATTCGCATCATTTCCCCAAAAACAATGTTGTCAATCACTCCAGTCCACTTCCTGTTTCCCACGCTGTAAAGTATAGTCCCCCGTCCACAAGGAACCCTACGACTTAAGGTAGTTTGAACATCACGCGAGGCCTGTGTCCTGATACCTCTTGCCAGCCTCTTCCTGTCCGTCATATTTCATCATTCCTTGCCTGTCTCTCGTGTTGCATCGTTTTGTGAACTGAGGGGAGATGACTGAGAATTCGACCGTCTTGGCCGAGGACCGCCGCTGTGTTGGGCCGTCTTCAGTCTTTTGTACTCGGCGACTATTCTGATGAAAGTTTGCTGCGGTATTGAGATGTCCTCTTCTAGTTCGATGACGATATTTTGGCCGTCTTGAAACATGTACACCCCTGGCCGTTCGCGAAGCTCCTGTTTGACTGCTGGGTATAGGCGGCTTAGCGCATTCTCCTCGTCTTCGGTCAGTCTTCGATACTCGCGTTGAGTGTTGCTCATGTTTCTGTGATTCCGTGATTGGACGAAGGACGGTTGTTCTGGAGTTGAGATCGAAGTGGCGGGCTCTTTTGGGAAATGGCATTTGCATCCACGGAAATGCCGTGTACTTTCGGCTTCATTTATTCATTTTCTGGCCCTGAATTGAAGACCTCCCTCATGATAGATGGTAGCTCATTGCAATGTTCTCGCGAGTCAACTTGCGAACGGGCACTTTTCAGCTCTCGAGCAATGTTGAAGATTGCAAATAAGCAACATTCCTCGTTCAGCGAATGCCAGTGAAGGATGAGAGTTCAGACAAAACCGGTGAACAAGCGTCAGAACTTACGGTCAATCCGCCGGGCGATGCTGGTCCGAGACCCTGTCAGTGGCTTGCAAGGGCGGCCAGCCATCCCATGCTTCTGAGGCGCTCCAGGGCACGGCCAGTTGGGCAGAATTAATACCCGCCCAACAGGGCGTCCACGAGACCCTTGCTAGGGTAATTTCTGGATGTTAAAGTGCTTCGATTGGCAACCGGTGGGAGAAGAATGATCTTCGTGGCGCGCATCTCGGTGAGCTCCCTGGCCTACTCGTGTTTCTATCCATGCCTGTCATTTGTCCCGCGGCCTATGCTCATGTCTATCCAACGCGGATTGATACCTCATGATAACAGGATTGACTTGTTATATCCGGTGGCGAACCTTACCGATTCATGATAGTTCCGACTTCAAGTTGTCTCGTGTCATGTTGCTGGGGATCTGGTGCTACTTCAGCCTTCGCCCTATCCTGGGATTCAGGCATGGGTCGAGATCCAGCTGCTTACACGCAGGTAGGCTACGAGAGTCCGTAATGCTTCTAATTCCTCCAATCGGGGCAAACTTTTACGGCTGGGTTCGAAGTTTCTAGTGAATTTCTATCGTAGTATTTACAAACCTCCAGCTGAGCCATCCCTATTGCCGGTCTTCCTCCGTACATGTCGTTGCCGTACACCACGATGGAACGTTCCAGTCTGGAAATTCGTCGGCAACTTCCCGTATTGCAGCCCCAATCAGCGCCTGAAGGTCTCTGCAATAATTCTCAGTCTCTCGAAACACGGACACAGCTTTACTGCGCACAAACACGATTCCCTTCAGCCCCGGCATACGCCGTGGAAGTTGACGAATGGTCCGCGTAACCAGTTCAGAGACGAAGCCCCTGTCGAGTCCGTTTCCGAAAACGGAATCGTCGATGGCCAAGTAGCGGACGTCCATCAGATCTGACGCATCGCACAAAGACATGGCTGTAAAGTACTGTGCGGATGCCGCCATGAAACCTTTTAGTGGACCAAAGTGTAAGACGTCGACTTCGGGGTTGAAGTAAATCTTTGGTACTCCAGCTATTCCGAATTTCAAGTTACCATAGAATCGTATGGCTTCTTGTCTTGATTCGCGGCAAGCGTGTAAGATGGCCGGGACTTTTGCTGGAGAAGTTCCCCAGGTTGAATGGGATGTGTCGCATCGAATCGAAACTGTTCGGGTGTTTGGTAAGCTTAAGAGCCATATTCTCATTCGAAGCTTGGTCGGCAGCCTGGGGAATGGATGCTTCATGTTGTAAGTTAGTGAGTCCCAAGATCCCAAAGGTCGTGTGGTGCGCAAAGTGTGTACTTGACTTACAAACACCATATCTGCCTCACTGTGATGATCTTCGGCCATATCTGTTGATGCAAGTTGTGTACCGAAAGGAGTCATGTTACTCGTGTGGAATGCAAGTAATGGAGGGCACGCTCATCATGGCCAAAAGTTGGAATGCTGTCATGTATTACAGACATCTTCAATGCACACGTTACCGCGATATTGGGTATTGATCCTCACAAATCTGTTGATGTTTTATCTCATCTTGAGAGACACCTTTAGCCAAAGCTTGAGTCGTGTGATCGCAGCCCTACGGCGAGCTGAGTCTGTCTTGCGAAGGGATTACGGGCTTCGTCGATAACACGGCTCGATAGCTGTTCCAGGAATATTGAATCTTGATTTGCCTGTCAAGCTGAAGCTAACATCGAGATGAAATATAAGGAAAAGAAAAGAGAAACGATAATCAATTTCTGAGAGGACCAGTTACAGGAATAACTGGGCAAATCACCCTTCTGGGCCGCCATGTCAAATTCACCGGTAGGAGATGACTTGCAGTTTCCCCCCAACCAACGGTCTCTTGATCGTAACCACAATCATAAATCATATTGCACTTCATGCGAAGTCGCTTACTCGGAGCCACGATTGGGCTGCGATGAGGCACTTATTCTTAAGCGTCTCTAGAGCCCTTGATTCTGGACGGTTGGTATCACCGTATTACAATAGCAGCTAACTTATCTGAACGGATCGGACTTCGAATCCAAGTCAGAGAAGAGGCCTCATAATACCAACGACAGAAACAGACACGCAGTCTGACATGCCATTGGGCAGCGTGACCGGGGTCAGTCGGACCCGCACTTTTGCGCTCAGGCAAAAGTAGCAAATAGCAAACCAACATTTCTTCGGGTCTGTCCAAATCAAGACGGCGGCAGAACGGCAGAGAAGTTACAGGGACATTAAGTGATAATCGCCCCATTTCTGTCACCTGTCAGAATATAAGCCATAACGGGCTGAACTCTACGTAGCACCACGTACATGGGTCCATCTTGTGGCGTTGAATCGGTGAGCTAGAACCCTCTATCCTGGGCATTAGATTGGAAGGCATCTCCGGGTCCCGACCGCCTGGTCAAAGGATCCATGGACGATCTGCCTAGCTTGGGCTTACAAACCTTGATTTTAGCCCTCGAGCAGGAATCCGTGGATTTTGCCCGGTGATCAAGGAGGGCGCTGTCGGAAATGGCGTGATTTTTCTCATGTGGGAAAGGTTGGTTTCAAATCAGCCCGGCAGGTGAAGTTCTTAGAAGCTCTACATATGCCTGAACGCCGACTCCAACGCTCGGGTCCTTGGGAAGAAAGGGAAAACAACACTGTTAGGCACGAGGTGGCTGGCTAAAGAACCCCTAAATTATTGAAACGATTCAGAGTAGTGCCAGCCACACCGTCACAAAACGTCATTTCTTGGGCAATGTCAGCCCACAGTCTTGTCTACTACATCTATTTCAAATTATCTATTGATTGGCAGTTCTCCCTATGTGTATGGCCTTAGGTAGGCTTGAGAGAAAGGTCGAAAGAACAATTGCAGCATTCGAGAAGTTTGAGGGATGGACACAACATCGGAGAAACATCCCTCGTCGCCTCAGAATGATTTCGGTACCTACTTGCCTTAATTGGAGGAGCAAGTCGCGTACCAAGTTTCATGAAGTTTAGGCTCGCCATATCGTCTACACCCGACAGATCCCGACGTAACCGGCTTATGCTATCAAATGATGCATATCATGGTGGATGTAGCTTGACGGGAAATTTTCGTCACGAGTCGTGCATAGGTCCACCGCCTCTTGACGGATATGTAGTCGGATTCAACGGATAACAGATTAAGGTACTGGGCAAATTTGAAGAGCATATAACATAGAGCAATCTCCCTCTGCCACTTCCAACATTACTAAGACTGACGGAACTCATTTGCTCATCGGCTGACTTGAAGTCAAATTCGGACCAAATTCCGCTGCGAGTCCAGGGCGCGTGGGACACGAGGGGCTGGCAGGTTGGCCTACACTTCTCCACAGGCGGAACATGGGTTAGGATTGGAGATAGCGCCCCCGGTCTCTTCTCAAAGGTTTGACTTGCCCAACGTGGCAAAACTTTTCAGAATATTCCACAAGTAGAAACAGGCGTGAGCTTGGCGTGACTGCTACGGTGTTCACGCCCAAGGGTTTCAAACTTACGACCACAGCAGCACCAGGCAGTAAGCCCGTACCGATTATCTCTCAAACATCTGTACGCTCAGGGAATTATCCTCGCCAAGAAGACCTGGATCAAAGCCCGAACATGTTCCCGTTCAAGTGCAGAGTAGTGAAGATCAGAGAACGAGCTGGGACATGCGTACCAGTTGCTAGATTTAACTTGAGCCTTACTTTGCCTGATATTCTCATGAATAGATACAGCGCAGTCAGCCATGGATGGGTATGACTCTCGCGCGAGTCCAGTCGGGGACCATCGCGGCCGATTGGACTTCAAATCCAGCCCAATTCCTGGGCTTGACCTGTTGATCAGCGCCTCTTCTTCCGATCGTCATAGAAAAGTTATAAATGAAATAAATGTCGCTCTACAGTTCTTTCGACATAATACGCAATTCACCACTTTCCTACTGCGGCTTCACGCATATGAGCCTAGCATGGTTGAACAACTCGCAACCGGGAAGAAGCCCGGGAGCCACTTTGTTCATGTCCACATCAAGGACTAAGTATGGCGTGTCCCGTAGAAGTCGCAGATAAAGAATGATGCCAATGTCACGAAAGGCTACGAGGATATAAGCCATCTAAAAATCGTTACTAATCATATTGACCGAACTTTCGAAGCTCAAACAAGAAATCTGCAAAATTCAATAACGCACCACAACGACTTTACACATCCGCCATGGATCGGTATCCGTGTATCAACAGATTCAAATACACCGTTAACTGCCCATCTTGGGTCTGGGTATATCGTACGCGTTGCGAAAACTGCGTTCTGGTTAGCAATCACTTCCAGACAGCGAGGTATTATGATAAGGTCTTGACATCGAGTAGTACGATCTTTAAGAACATCGGGCCCCAGGATTCGATGATGGGGTAAAAAGGCCATACCCGGAACAAGCGGTAGCAAAGTTCACCAAGGAATCATACGCGCTGGTTAGGTGATTAAAATGCTCAATACTACAGACATTAAACCATGATATCAAATAATAAAGCCTGTATCTACGTACGGACGAACCTTATGTACCTTGTAGCGGAGTCTTGGGCATACAAGTACGCAATGAGCGCTTTCAAGGAGCTAAGGAGCTATGCGTACGCAAGAACCAAGGCACGACTTGACCATTCTGCACTGCTGCCTTGCTGCCGCCGCCAATCCGTCTTAAAACGAGTCCTTGCCGTGGAGCCGATGAGATACTCGATGCAGCATGGCGCATTAGTCAGTACTTTCAGTCAAGGCTAGACGTATTTTGCCAGCCGCAAGATGAACTTCTACCGGGCCAGACCCTCCGGCAGAGCGTTCAGGAGCAAGGTTATACGCTTACTCCGCTCAGGTAGCCCGTGGAGAAGGCCCAGAGCGAGGTTGAAAACCTTGACAAAGGGGGCCTTACAAGGGGTAAGCAAGCGCACCGCATGGATGTAACGTAGCCATGTGGGTTAGGCCCAGCCGAGCCGTCTCCGTCCCCTGTCTGCATGTCTTGTGATGATTGCTCAACGCTTTGGCTCACTACAAGAAGTTCTGTATGTCGATGCTTCTCAACAAGTTCGACTACAGCCTGATCAACGCGCCAAAGCCTTGTAATTCGTCATTGCCTGCGATCGGCACTATTGTTCGTAACTCGGGTTCGGAACGACCGTAGATTCGAGGGTTATGCCCTCTTTGGGAAGACCAAAGGGGTGTCCGAAAGCTCATCTTCTGGAAATGAAGACATGCGGAACCTGCAAGATGCCGGTCTGAATGTGCATCTTCCACCCAAGATACGAGTGGTTTGCCACCAAATAATTTGAGGGAATGTCCGTTCGCGACGTACGACTACAGCCGACACACCACAGTCGACAAGCCATAACATACTCATTGTAGTTATCCCCATACGTAACGACCGTCAAGAATCGTTCACTGCACATGCAAGAACTCTCAGCGGCTGATATCAGTCTCCTGAAACTGTCAAACAGTCGACAAAGCGGGCTTGGAACCTGTGCCTCTTGCCCTTCTGACTGGTCCCTAGTGAAGATGAGTAAGTAGCGATCATGTGTTACCCAGCCTTTTCGTAATGCTTTTGCTGGAAATTGGAATTTCTTACTTCACAGCTACTGCTTCAAGGACTATGTGCTGGCAAGATTCCCAAGTCTTTGTCAGAGAAAGGCCTAGCATTTGACCTCAACAGGTATTTACACACCGTGTCTTCATGCCGAACCCCGTATGTGAACACCCGCTTCCTTCAAGCCTTCAACACACCATTATAAAGAAACACGATCCTTGCTCGTATGCACAATCAAGCGACATTTTACCACACATATCTCTCTCTCGTCCACACCCTTTGTCCGTCTCATATCACGTCTTCTGGGAACAAGGCCACACCGTCCTTCCTCATGGACATACACCTTGTCGTAGGCATATCACACGCCTCATTCAGGTGGGCTTCTTTCTTCTGAGTGGGCTCAAAAGAGCTAGATGAAGTGTCCTCTATGATAAAGATCTAGTTGGTTGTGACAACACACTCTATTTGCGGACATCTCGAACGCCATATCAGTCTAGTCGAAGCCCGGAGGTACTAGGCAGTGACGAAGAATCACTAGGGATACTCAAATCACGTTGGAGTCAGACATTCTTGCCAAGGAGAATTGAGCCGAATTCAATTAAATACAGCTATCCAACTTTTAGCAACTTTGAAGATCAATTATAAAAACCTCCTAGCCATCCCGATACCGATTCATTACCATGGCAAAGAGCGAATCCCGCGAGCTAGAACTAAATTTTGACTAACATTCCTGCGAGAGAAAGAACCTGCCGGGTGTCAATAGCAAGGGATGGACCTATATTGATGGTTACCGATGCGTAGATTGCATCACAATATGTGCTTTACTTAGAGAGAGAGGTGCCGAAGAGAGAATGCGAGGTAGAATTCTGACATTGAGACCTCTAGAACGGTATAGGTAAACCAACAAACCGATAAGAGAGTCATAGACTTGTCAGTGATGTGGATAGTGATCTATTGATACTCATCTGGCTGCAATGATAACGTCTCGCGATTACGAGACCGATGTTGGTTCATGGCTCATGTAGGAGATTGGGATGGGCTGTGTGACGTTGATCCCACCTACTGATCGTTCAAAGAAGCCGATGAGCCGTCGTAAATCATCTGTTTCTACCTGCCACTAGTAACTACCATATGAAAAATCACAAAAAACAGAGACATAAGCATCTTACGTTGGGGGCCAACAGTGTTTTGATGACTCGACTTATCGTGGCCATACTAGGTACGGCAGAAGAAAACACTTTTTGCACCGTCTCAATTCCAGCCTTATCGTCGTCGGCATACAGGTACGAGTTGTCCATGTCCAGGGACTTCATTTTCCCAGAACCAGGGTTGCGATCTGATCGGATTCCGCTGCTGCCTATTGCAACTCGTCGCTAATCACTGTGAGACTGAATATAACTCGAACAAAGCTCGAGTAGCGTTGGTAGCCGTCTGATCTGGGTTGTCTGCAGTACGTGCAGGAAGCTCTGTTGTGGATGATTGGGTCATCGCCGTCAGGTCGGAAGACAGCGTGGCGCCAACGCTGAATCTTTGTTAGCGGCATGAATTAAGATGCTTCAGTGCGTGGCCAGTACGACACTTATTCATACTGTGACAATGACACGTTGCTCTGTTGGCTACATGCAAGGCTCAACTGCCTACTTCCAACCGTCAGTCTGCAATATCTGACTTTCTCCTCTGCACCAACCTGTTGAGCGCTTAGCCTTTTCGAAGATGCCATCACCGAGTCCCACCGAGAGCAGCCAGCTGGGGCCTACGAAGCCTACGATAAAATCACTTCAAGACCTCACTCTTATCGAAGCCTGGGACAAAGATGCGAATGCGCCAAAATACGTCACCTTCTACCACATAACGGACGAAGCGGAACTATGGTTTGGTCAAAGCTCCAAGAACAAGCGGGAGATACCTCTTGAAGAATACCAAGAGGCACTGGAGCTCGTACCCGACGAAGAGATCTATCCCGAAATTCCAACTGGCGCCAAGCTCACCATCGCACCAGACAACATCGATGACCCAGTGTTCATAAAACGGCCCGGCCTCAACTGCTATGAGTCGATGAAGGGAACACCCTATGTGTGGAAATCCGTCCTTGATGAGACCTTGATCATGGAAAAGGTCTCCAAGAATCCACATTCGTATATCATCAAGTACTATGACTGCCGAACCGCACGCGATCGCATCACGTCTCTCGTTCTCAAGTCGTACGACTGCACGCTCACCCAGTTTGCCCGGCAGCCAGGTTTTAAAGACCTCGACAAGGAAAAGTTTCTGGACGGCCTGGAGTCAGCAGTGTCATATGTACACTCGTTGGGCCTGGCACATAACGACATCAATCCGGACAACATCATGATGGGAAAGGATGGCATGCCTGTCCTTATTGATTTTGGGTCTTGTGCTCCGTACGGGCAAAATCTCCAGTCCTTGGGCACCGATGGATGGTACGAGGAGGTATTCTTCACTTCAGAGAAGTCACACGATGATTTCGCCATGAAGAAGATGAGAGTTTGGATACAAGATCCGCAAGTATGATGGGTCAAGTCCGATCCGAAAGCTGATGCAGGTTCTCCGGCATTGTTGGCGCATAAGATGGACCTCCACGGAATGGAGAACTACGGTAGTTGAAAGGGAGCCAGATCAGGGAGGATCTTATCTCCCCCATGTCGCAATGCTACACGTTATGCTGCCCACTGATTACTGCCCGACGATACTACTCACCTCCATGCGGGAACTCGATACTGGGGGTATTACATGTTGGAATGTGAGAGCAGAAAAGGGCAACTGGAAAATGATAAGGGCTGGTAGCAGCGTACTTGAACTTTAATATAGAGCGAAGTTTGCAATTCCAAGAAAGACTCGACAGATAAGAGTTGATATTGTGATCTTGAATCAGTGGTGTGGTGGCGGTGATTGTGGTATCGAAGACTCGTGATGGCTTCCCGGATAGAATGCAACTGCGCCAGATACCGTGCCCAGACTGAAAGTACCTGGATTCTACCACTTTCGAGCTAAGGTAAAACAAAAGAATGCAAGGTTGATGAACATGTTCGAAGAAAGAACTCACCTGTGTTTTGTTGTCTCGAAAATTCCTCCGCGCCATCCTTGTTAACCCCCCCCCCCCCCGGTGCTGGATGTTTTTCTCGCCTCCTGTTCCCCCCGAGAAAGTCCCGCTTGAACGTGAACCTCCTCATAATTCCTCCTCTTCTGTTATGTCAGGCCTCGCTCCCCTCATCTCACCCGATCTTTCCCTCTTCATCCAAATCTGAACCTCGCTCATCTTTGGACCTTGCTTTACCTCAGCGTCATCTGCAGACGGCACACATAAGATTCAGAGGATCAAAGCTACGGAGAAGCCACTCTAGCGGTAGCAGATCGTGGGGTCTTTTCCCTTGACATAAGGCATGGTTATAACGCTCAGATTTCAAAACAGGAAAGCAACTGAGGCAAAACACGAAAGACCTCAATCACAGATCCTCAATCAGCGAGTGCCTATTGTATTTGTAGTAGTAAACACATCATCATTTTCACCGCCAGGAATCACCATTCAATATTGAACATTAGTCGTTGCGTATCATTAAACGCTATCTACGCGGAAAGATATTCTATCATGCTATCGTACTGGGATAGATGGTCCCCAGAAGATGACCGAGGAGCTTGCAGCCCGGGAGCTAGATGCCTCCATGGAGCAGTCCGGGTCATCTATTTCTCTTCCCGAACTGAAGGCCCTAGATGTGGAATCTACACCTCTTGTTCAACCAAGCAAATCTTTTACTCGTTATCCGTAACCTTGATAACAGTAGACTTGAACTGGCGCGCAGGGATCTTGCGGTTGAAGAGAATATCGGCC